TTTTTATTATTTTTTTTTTTATTTTTTTCATATTTTTCTTTTCCTTTATTTAACTTTTCGAGATTTTTTATTTTAACGAAACGTTAACCCTCTTCCTTCTTCTTCTTCTTCTTCTTTTTTTTTTTTCTTCTTGTTGCATCTTCTACTCGTGTTTTCCTTTTCTTCCATTATGTTCGTGGTAGTTGCTATTCATATAAACATCACGTTGGCCATTATTAAAATTATAAAACAAGTTGGTTTTGTCGTAGCGTAGGAAGAACTCCCGTCACCGTGATGCATCGCGGCTGGATGCTCCTCTGAAACAAAAAATGGACCTGTGTGTATATATATATATATATACGCATGCACTTATATATGCATTCATGCATGTATGTATGTGGGTGGGTAGTTAGAGGTAGGTATATCCGATAGTTTCACGAAGAGAATATCGAAAAATATGTCGAAAAAATGTTACGCTAGAAAAATTCCTTTACGTTGTCACCGAAAAAAGAAATTTCTATTTCACAAAGTTAATCGAGTTGACGTTAATAGTCAAATATTTTCAAATTTGACGTATATAAATATCTAGGCCACAATTTACTTTTATAATAATATCGATCGTATACACATCGACTGTATTATATACGTTTCATTTACTTTTTTAATTTATTTTCTTTTTATAAATAATTTTTACACGTATCATTTGTTAGTATTCGCGAGGTATTTCTTTTTTTTTCTTCGTTTTTGCGTAATAAAATCGTTGGAAAGGATAGATAGACTAAATCTGTCAACAGATTTTGTTCGTCATTTATAATTAACAATATACGTTTAAATAATTACATTATTTTTCTTTTTTTTTTTATTTTTAATTACTATTGACGCACAGGGGCCAATTTGGTATTGCAAAATGTTGTTCATGTGTTCGAGTATCGGATCAGTTTTATCGAATCGTAACGAGATTACATAAATCGATCAATAAAAATATTGAAAAACAAAAAATAAAAAAAAGAAACATAAGTTCCAGATTTATGTTATAAATAACCTGCAATAACGGTTATTTTTCTTTAACTGTTCGTTCAATCGTTATTTTATATTTACGTATTATATTTATTTTATCATTATACAATTAGTATTGTATCCAATTGTTGTTTTATCGTCGGACGACTATTTTCACGATTAAATATTATATAAAAATGTTGAAAAAAAATAAATGAACGAATATCTCTCTCTCGTGTGTGCATACGAGATAAATATTAATTTTAAATAAAAAAAACAGAATAATGGGGGAACTGATTAGAAACGTCTTTAAACAAAACTGTCAATATCAGTGAAAGGAGATAATATGGTTACGTTTTGGTATTGCGTTGGGGAATAATTGGAACGGGCAATGATAGCATCGATACTATCGAACTTGACATAGGACGGTTGGCAGGAAGGGGGTGGATGGGGGTCGGAGAGGTTGGGGGAGGGTGGGGGGCTGTTAATCGGTCAAGCGTAGCGGTGTTCCCTTGCTTGCGGGAGAAAACATCGCGTTATATAATCTCTCCCGTTCGATTGGATAATTCCAGGGATGTTCTTTGATGTTCAAATGCAGGATAGGGTTTGTTGCAATGACGTGCCACCATTCGAAACGGCTAGCTAATCAGGTTCCACCTATCGATTTTCCAGACATGAGATTTATCATAGAACACATTCCTACTACGATATATGCACACACACATTCATCTACGTATTTATATATATATATATATTATATTATGTATATATAAATAAATGTATTCCTCCTGTGTATGATCTGTGTGTTTGGTTGGTACGAATGCTTACGAATTTCCATTGTTTTCGAACATTATTTACGATTTATGATTTCGATCTTGTTTGTTTAAGGATGTGATGCACAGGGTGTCCGTTTTCAATCGATCTCATACGATCTATTGAATGGTTTACGATTATTACCGTTGTTTGTCCATGGAAAATAGCAATTATATCCATGATCAAACGTTATTGAATTATTTTTTTTATTATTTTTATTTGTTCTT